TAAATTAGTGTCAGTGGGATATTGACAGCCAGTCGATATCCTTACTTCTACCTCACAGGGAACACAATCCCTAGTTTCTGTGCGATATGACGGTGCTCTGTAACGCCTACAACACCAGTATTCCCGAACACGACGGGTACACGTTACGCCAAACTCGGCACCGTTCTTGTAATATCGCGGGTACCGAGAAAGCGTTGTCAAAAAGGTTCTTGTCGATAACTGGTCTCCCAAGAAGTCTTCATCTGGCCATTGTGGTTACCTGATAAACCTGATAAACAGAGGCTGTATTTCACTACAACAGACTTGACCCACAGACCCAGGATTCACTACACCCCAGTACAGGTCTTGACCCACAGACCCAGGTTTCACTACACCCCAGTACAACACTTGACCAACAGACCCAGGTTTCACTAAACTCCAGTACAAGACTTGACTCACAGACCCAGGTTTCACTACACCCCAATACAAGACTTGACCCACAGACCCAGGTTTCACTACACTCCAGTACAGGACTTGACCCACAGACCCAGGTTTCACCACAACACCAATACAAGACTTGACCCACAGACCCAGGTTTCACTACACTCCAGTACAACACTTGACCCACAGACCAAGGTTTCACTACACCCCAGTACAAGACTTGACCCACAGACCAAGGTTTCACTACACTCCAGTACAAGACTTGACCCACAGACCAAGGTTTCACCACAACACCAATACAAGACTTGACCCACAGACCCAGGTTTCACCACAACACCAATACAAGACTTGACCCACAGACCAAGGTTTCACTACACTCCAGTACAACACTTGACCCACAGACCCAGGTTTCACTCCACTCCAGCACAAGACTTGACCCACAGACCCAGGTTTCACTACACTCCAGTACAAGGCTTGACCCACAGACCAAGGTTTCACTACACTCCAGCACAAGACTTGACCCACAGACCAAGGTTTCACTACACTCAAGTACAAGACATGACCCACAGACCAAGGTTTCACCACAACACCAATACAAGACTTTACCCACAGACCCATGTTTCACTACACTCCAGTAAAAGACTTGACCCACAGACCAAGGTTTCACCACACTCCAGTACAAGACTTGACCCACAGACCAAGGTTTCACCACAACACCAATACAACACTTGAACCACAGACCCAGGTTTCACCACACCTCAGTATAATACTTGTCTCGTACATGAGTACCCACACACGCAAAAGCCAGGTTAAGTCCTGTATTTTTAGACTTATAATGTAGAGAAGTAGATTTGCCCGCAGCTCTTGCACTCACGGCCAACAAGTGCAGTTAGAGGGGTAGATCTTACCCGGCCTAACGCCGCGGGATCACGTGACATGTTGAAGTATCCCATCAGAACTTGTATTTAGCGATTTGTATTTATAAATCTGTTCCACCGGAAACGCTCGCAACATATCTAACATTAGCAAGCAAGTTAGTTTGTTTTAATTTATGCATGATTCACATATATTACTGAAGTGAGTGAGTTGAGGTTTAACAGTACTACATCACGGCGTGTTATTTTAATGTGGGAAAAAAAACCGAAGTCTTAGACTTGTACTTCTTTGGTGAAATTAACGACCATAAAGGTACGGTGTTGCAAACCAAGGATCATAAGCAGATTTAGTCTTGGATTAGAATCCACCATCATAGGATCCTGGCACAACTAAGGGACGCAAATTTGCACAGCATATCGTGACGCCTGAGAAGAATATTCCATCTGTGTCCTATATAGGTACAGAAACTGGAATAACAACTCGCTCATTGAAAGATTAGATATAATCCTAAGTTAAGTATTAAATGAGCTTAGCCTCCTGTAAACGTTAAGGCAAGAGAGTTAACTGTACGTGTATCGCTAAAAGGAGTTTTAAAATTACCCAGCCTCGGGCGGTTGGGTAGCCTTGTGATTAAAACGTTCGCTCGTTACGCAGAAAGCCTGGGTTCGATTCCAAACATGGATAAAATGTGTAAAGCCAATTTCTGGTATATCCCGCCGTGATATAGCTGGAATGTTGCTAAAAGCTGCGTAAAACCATACTCACTCACTCACTCATCTCATCCCATACATAAAGATTCATAGAAGTTACTCATAGCTTTTCTATTTCAGGATCTTGGTCTTCAGATCTTCACCAAGGAAGTAGTTATATCATTTAAATGTTACATTTATGTCGTCTCATCAGATCGGATGTGGAGAGAAAACTGTTATGTCCAGATAAATCAATTTGTCTACCAGAGCCTGTTTCTTAGACGCCAGTACAAAACATATTACAAATCGATAGTTCAAAATAGCTGCGAATGACAAAGAACAACATGTTCAGAAAACATGTACACCTAAACCGTCGCCATTGAGCGACAAACACCAGCATCGACCAGCATCCATTTCCCTTATTAGAAGTCACGCCACATACGCCACACACGGAACGATATGTTGGCGAGTGCCTTGACATAATGGTAGCTGTCGCGGGCTTCCTCCCTTCCACTATTACATATCGACATCGTGCACGTTGCCCACGTCTCCGTGAAGGCAACATCGATCCTACCCGATTCTCTCAGCATGAACCAGCAACGTCGTCCACGACGACAATTCCCCCGTCTCACCGTTGTCAGTCACGGACCAAAGGAGTGAATATGTCGTTGTGGAAAACAGTGTGTTTGCTAATTTGGTAATTGTGATCTGGCGCTGACAGCAGGCTACAGCGCAGTAGGGGGTGGGACGCTATAGTTAAGGCTATTCAGGTACGTTGTATGCAAATACACGAATGTGTAATCAGCAGTCAGGTTACATGAACTATTGTGAACGGAAACCTGTAAGGCATCACGTTCCTGAGAAATATGAATATACATGGTTTAATGGATTGATCCGTGTTCAGTTTAAATAGTATTTATAAACTCTTTCCATATATACAGTGGTCTTCATTATGTCGAAAGTGAGTGACAAATGGTAACTTTGAGACACCCAAGCGTTAAGGTCAGATGGAAACTTCGAGATATAAGAAGGTGGAGTTCAGATCAATTTCGAGATATCCGAAGGTGAAGGTGTGATGGAAACTTAGCGATACCAGAAGGTAAAGGTCACATTGAATTTCGATATACACAAAGGTCGTCAGATGAAAACTTTTAAAAACCCGGAGGTGAAGATCAGATTGAAACTTTCAGATCAGATACTCGAATGTGAAGATGTGAGATAGTCGCCGCCCGTTTTGATAAGATGATGTTATTTGGAGAAGGAAGATGAACACTTCGACACACACAGTAGTACATTACAGCCGTGTTTGAAACATAATTCCTCGTGTGAAAACATATTTAATTAGTATTTCTGTGTTCCAAAACGGTAACTACAAATGTTTTGTTTTATAACAACATTCTCACGTGACCTATGTACATGTGAGCGTGAAACAGCAGATATCAAAAGTCCAGTGGTAGATGTTCAAGAGCGACTATTTGACAGCCCCACCCAATTAGATTCAAGTCCATTAAACAGCACTTTGCTGGTGTGCTCGTTCACATTTTATGATAGATATTTAGCAGTTAATAAGGATCCCAATCCCACAGTTTCTCGTTATTAATTACAATGTCTGTGATCACAGAACTTGGAGCACGTCCCCATCAAGAATAAACAGATAATCGTTTCAACAATTAGATAGTAGCAAACCTGCTTGGCTACCCTACACATGCCAAGAAATAGATAGTGGTGAACCAACTTGGCTACCCTACACATGCCAAGAAATAGATAGTGGTAAACCAACTTGGCTACCCTACACATGCCAAGAAAAAGATAGTGGTAAACCAACTTGGCTACCCTGCGCATGCCAAGAAATAGATAGTGGTAAACCAGCTTGGCTACCCTACACATGCCAAGAAATAGATAGTGGTGAACCAGCTTGGCTACCCTACACATGCCAAGAAATAGATAGTGGTAAACCAACTTGGCTACCCTACACATGCCAAGAAATAGATAGTGGTAAACCAACTTGGCTACCCTGCGCATGCCAAGAAATAGATAGTGGTAAACCAGCTTGGCTACCCTACACATGCCAAGAAATAGATAGTGGTAAACCAGCTTGGCTACCCTGCGCATGCCAAGAAATAAACAGTGGTAAACCAACTTGGCTACCCTACACATGCCAAGAAATAAACAGTGGTAAACCAACTTGGCTATCCTGCACATGCCAAGAAATGAATAGTGATATACCAGCTAGGCTATCGACTTAACGTTAATCTAATTACCAGCTATGATGACGTGAACGCGACGACTGGTAACAAACACATGTATATAACATTCCACTAGCTGAAATACTATTGTTTGGTTGAATAGTTGGTTTTTTTCTCTGAAACGATGAGCTGAATTTGACTAAAAACACATTCTTTTGCAAAAAAGTAGGCAGATTTATTATGATACCGTATTTTCTGGAACAGAATACATTTTCAGATTAATGCCCCACAGAATATCAAAAGATCGGCTCTTATTGTATGTAAGACTTTGTTATTATAATAAGCAGGGATACAAATGGTAAAATAAGTGGGCAGAAATAATTATTAATGTTCTAGCTCCGATGAGCGAAGTTATCGGTAACTTAAATCAAATACAAATGTGAAAGTCTTCGGGTCAGGCGTGTTATTATCAAAATTTGACTCACTGAATCTCAAGAAAGAATTAAACTGTTGACTGTGTACACAATCTCAACTCACGTGAGGCTCATTCCTAATCAAAAGAAGAAGTGAAAAATATTCCGTCAGTCTTCATTCGATCATCTCCCCATATACGTTTATGTATGTATCACAGACATGATCTGTAGTATGTAACAATTTTTTCAATATTTTGAAAAGATGTAACCATATTGCTTTTGTTCTTTTACAATGCACGTTATGATGTGCTTGTGGACAGTGATTGGAACAATGCAACTACTCCACCAACACAGATGCCATCTCGCACAGACAGACATACAGATAAGACACATATAGAAGACATAAAACCCCTTAC